AAGTACTACCTTAGGAAAGTTATGTTGATAACATCGATTAAGTAGAATAGTTTCTATGAGTATTTTTTCAGGGTGTCAACAAGTGATGAAGATAAAAGCTCTTAGGGAAACATGGTAAGATCATATGCTTTCTCTGAGAATGGGGGAGGGGAAGACCAAAAAGAGGCATACAATTGCAGTAATTGTAGGAGAAGAATCATCTTAGTCATGGCAAAAAAATCAGGAGGAGTCTGGTAGCACCTTTTCCAACTAACACATTGTATTACAAAGCACAAGCTTTTGTAAGCTGCACCTTATTTCATCAGATGCTTATAAAAGATGCTTATGCCTTTTAATACAATTTTAGTCAGAAAAGATGCTAGCCTACTCCTTCTGACAATTACAGTAGGGTTATATGCGCAAAAGGACATGTTTATTTGATTTGAAATGAGCATGGTCATCAACAGGAAAGAAAAAGTCAACCTAGAAATATACACCCTCTCATGGCCTGTCTAATACCTGGACTCATCACATCAGAATTTTCATGCTGGAGATGAATTCCAGAGAGTTCCAGGAAGATGACAAAGAATTAGGCAGATCTTCTTTGTTGGTTACTCCCAGATTGTTTTAACTGGAGAAGGCAGTAATTAATTTTGGGACTTCTTCCACATTCCTTCTCACTGAGCTGTGATCTCAAAGGGATTAAACTGAGCAAGTGAAGGCCATAATGGAAAGAAAAACTGGAGTGGACGGTACAAAGGACAACAATGTCCTTCCTTGAAGCTTCCCCACCATCTTAAAATAGCTAGTCAACTTGTGGACATTATTGCTTCAAAATTAATTACAGCATATTGTTTCAGTGGTACAGAAGCCAAGTCTATTATTCATGCCTCTGATCCATAGCCTATCCCATAGTTAATGGAGTTGGGCAGTCATGATGACTTTCTTTTTAAAGCACTTCTGATGGAAAAGTATCAATGCAGCCTATTTATGGCTTGCATTAAGGCCCTCACAAGAAGATGCATCAGAAGCTCTTAGATGTTTGCAAGGGAAGCAATCCTTAACACTTCTAAAAATGGCCCGCTTTTAAACATTTGGGGAGCATAAAATTTAAAAATCTGGGCACAGGCCATTGTGTCTGCAATGAGCCCACTTTAGCTGTGCAAATAGCACAGTCATATCTACTATGGAGAAATGGAGACAATCTCAAGGCAAAAAAATAATTGATCTCTCGCTAGGAATTCTACATAGATGGAAACGTCCTTCTCTGACAAGAAACCAGGCACTTTCTGATTTGCAACTTTTTGCTTCTCCAAGATTTGGGAGAAGCTGTGTATTCTAGCAGGATGGATGCCATGTTTAGCCTTTTAGCAGTATGCTAGTGGTAGCATCCAAAAAGTAGTGAATGATGGGGACAAAACCAAATTTGCTTTTATTTTAATTGAAGTATCATTAAAAATAAACATAATGTGATGATTGCTTATCAGCAATGTGGCTGATTATTTCTCCCTTTTGACTCAAAGTATAAATTTGATAGCAACCATCAGAGATCTTTGAGGCTGCACTGAAAGTCTTGATGTCCACATGAAGACCAGGGCTTGGAGCTGTGTGCTTATAGTGCAGTGGGAGAGTGAAATGTTGATCACTAGCAAAACAGTGCAAAGAGAGATGTGTGCTTTAAAGAGCAGCCTTGTATAGGCAACTCCATTCATTCTTTCACACAACATGCTTAGTGTAGCTAGGATACGAAAGCAACCCATTTTCAGGGCTTGCAAAATTCACAGAACCATAAGCTATCTGACATGGTTAAGTGTGTTGTGTAAACACGGGCAATCTGTATCTTACTACAATGATGCCAAAATATGCACTGTGATGTCATAACACAGGTTCCACCCTTTCATTCTTGGATTATGATGTCATACATACAAGGCAGTATTTGCATCACAGTGTCACAACACCTGCTTTATCACTTTCCCCCTCACCCATGCCCATGAACACTTATGAGTGTGAGGACTGCTCTGCCATACCTGCCAAAAGTAAGTATCCTCAAGAACCTCCCTTGCTCCAGGATTTGATGGTACTGTTTTGAGTAAGATGCTCTTGTGAGGCCCTTCCTCTCTTCTTCAAATCAGCCAGGGCTGTCTATGAGTGTGCTGTTAGTTAGCTCTTTAAGACTTGATTGCCACTGTCCTCAATCTTTGGGCCCAACCCACATAGCTGCCCGGGGTCATAGTCAAAGATATGGAAACTAGTGCAATGTTAAAGATCACAGGCTGTACAGCTTGGAGTTTAGGCAACCAAATTTCAAGGAAATAGAAACATCATATAGGGTGGTGTTTACTCATAGTTAAACATATACTGAAGGTTCCTTCCTCCTGTTCCTCTGCAGCACGTAGGCAAAACTTTAATGAGTCAATTGCGTGACAACCACATTGCTACTTTCATCACCCAAAGGAGGAAATGAAATCTTTGGCTTCTTGCTACCTTTTCAAACTAAACAGAAAAAAAATAGCTACAACACATGAAAATACCAGCTGTAGTCTCAGATCCCAAAGCAGGGATGGGTGAAACAAAACTTGGGGTACATGCTAAATACATACAACTGCAGCCATACTTCCCCACCACATCCAGAGCTTTTGCTCCTATACAGGTCTTATAAGCACATGAAGCTGTAGAAAGAAGATAGAAGCAAGTAGTTCTGAGAAATCAATGTGCTTTTCCTCAGGGGTCTCTCAACAGCAGGCATCAAGCCTTAAAGAACTTCTGCCCTGACGTACTGTATGTTCATAAAGGCCCTTGGTTGAGTTTTTGCCTCAGTTTCAGCTACTGACACTAATCCATCGTTCTTGAATACTGAAAAAGAACAGGGCCATCTGATCTGCAGGTGTCCAGATGACCACTAAATGGCTCCAAAGTGATCTAGAACCCCCCCCCCAACTCTTTGCTGGCCTCTAACAGCTACCTGTCTATTGGCAAACCAGGTGTAGGATTCGTAAAAAATGAAGATACTTCACACTGGCTTTGTCTCACAATGCACGACATTGAGTCAAGGGGAATGATTGTCCTTTTGGAAGGGCAAAAAGGGGTTAATTACACCATTCAGGAACCCACAGGAAATTTAATTTAGTTCTAAGCAAGTATAAATGAATTCAGCAGGTATCAGCAGGGTTAAACTAATTCCACCCAGTCAGTTGGGTTGGGAACACCTGCACTGAGACAATCAACCTGATTTGCAGACACCAAGAAAAAGAACTAGAAAGTGCAAGCAGCTGGAAACACAGTATTGTAAATTACAATACTGACAGCCAAGGCTTGGCAGCACATACCCCAAACTAGTTGGAAGGACTCATGGAGTTCCAGGCATTTGCAGAAAAAGTGGGTAGGGACTTTGTGATGATTGTGCCAAGACAGAAATTTGGCAGATAACAAATGGGTTGAGCATTTTCATGGAAACAGGTATTGGGGAGATGCATCTCAGACTCTGGATACCAGATTTCTGTTTCGCCAGATCATTTTTGGAAGTGACATTTCAGCCTCAGTATCATGCGGTCTTTGAATTTAATCAGGGATATATAGTCTTTTATTTCGACATTTCTGACGATGAGGACCAAAATTGGTTTCTTAGTTCTGTTTCCCCCTTTCAGCTGTAAGCAAATGTCAACCAAGCTGCAAGTGTAGGCCTGCCCAGAACAACCTCCACATGTCTTTTCAAAAATCATCCCACTGAAAACTAGTTTGTGAAATTATTTGTAAGCCTATGTCAGGCGAAAGAAACCATTTAGAAATCAGGAAGGGTTGCGCCAAGAAATCCTGGACAATGCCTCTTAATGGGATTTGCAAAGTAGGCTGGTGAAAGCCTTGAAGACTTCTTTTAATACCAGAAGAGAGATGAAAGATCAATTCCTGCGATGCTACAAGAATAACTTAAAGGTCAAGACTGTGCAGAGCAAAAAGAAGGAATATGAAGTTGGACTATTTGACCAGGGATAAACTATTTGTTTGATACTTCTGGTAACTCCTAATAGACTTTTCAAGGATTGAAAAGATGATGATATCTGTGTATAGATAAAAGTTAGGCTATGGAGAGATTTTTTTATTTGTAACTTTAAAAGAGGGTGAAAAGTCAGTATATTTGCTTATGCTTGGTGTGATGAAGGCTGGAAGCCACTTTTTTTGTGTTCATTGCCTTTTTCTTTTCTCTTCTACTTTTCTCTTCTACTTTTCTCTTTTTTCTGCACGTTTCTTTTTTTCAGTTTAGTTTGTATTAGTTTTTACTATGTTTATTAAAAAAAAATCGTTAAAATTGTTAAAAAAAATCTGGCATGATAGCAGTTATCTTCATTCTGCTGAGTCATTTTTGTGCTCAAGAATAGCTAAATAAAAACAAATGTTAATTTTGTGTCTTCACACTCTCTCTCTCCCAATCTCTTTCTCAAGTTGCATTTTCTTTTTTCAAATAACATTTGTTTTAAAAATATTTTATAAGCCTGTGTCCTTTTGATTTTCAGAAGCACAATTTATAATTTAAAGAAAATATTTCTTGATAAGGGAGACTTTATTTTCCCCACCTTACATTTCTGAGAAATCTTATCCATGTAAGATCAGGAATGTCTAGGGTGAATGGGTGGGTTGAAGACGTCAGATGGTGGCTGTGGCCAAGTGGAAGCAAGTGTAGAAATTAGAATGAATGTGGATTAAACACAAAAGTGACTAGTACAAAAGAAGCATTTTGAGGTGGCTTAGTGATATAAAGAGAATGAATGAGGATAGAATTGCAAAACAAATATATGATGAAGGTGTAAGTGGGTCAAGATGGAGGGGAAAACCAAGAATGACAATGGTGGCTAAACATGTTGTGGCTTATTGATAAATAAGCAAACCACCTTAGCATGCTGGGTGAACAGAATGGTACAAAGAGGGGTAGAGGGCAATCAAGATCTTTCTTTGAAGACAATACAAAAATATTGTTTTTCATGCTCCCAAATAAGTGAGAATTGTAATCAATTTGACGTCTGATAAACTACTTGATAAATTCCAAGTTTATTGAAAATATAAATTACAATATATTTTTTCCAACAACTCAACTCTTTTTAAAGCTCACACATTGAGAAATGCTGTTCTGTCTTCCTAGAAGAAACAACATTCCAGGGCATGGTTCAAAACAAATACGAGAAGCTGCCCTTTTTAACACATTTTCTTTTGGGACAATATGGGCTATTTCTAAAACCAACAGTAATCTCCTCCAGAGTCCAAAACATAGTGGAGGAAGACTCTAAAAATGTAGCAGAAGCATTTCCGCACACTGGTTTCAATCCTCTAGTTTGTGCAGAAGTGATTCCACTAGATTCATAGAGTGTTGTTTGGAGGGGCTGGTATCTCACCCCTTGGTAAGTTTTCGGATTTCCTCCAGCTCTTCAATGGGCTTCCATCGCTGATGGATTGAAATCAGCTGCCGTATGTGTTTGAGACAAAAGATTTAAAAGGCAAAAGATTAACAAGCTTATCCGGTATTATGGATTCCTTCCCCCTTATCACTCCTATTAGGCGTTTCTCATTACAGAAGAGGCTATGTAAAATAAGATTTTTATTCTCTGAGCCTTGTTACCATAAATCCTTCCCTTTGGATGGGGATAAACAAAGTCCAGGCTTACAATAAGCTTCCTTTTTGCCTGGATGGTGATGTCCCATGTTTTAATGATATAAGGGATCGGTGAGCTGGGTGGTTTACGAACTGCTTGTCACTTTGTTTTGAGGTGGATAAGCCATCCACAATGGTTAGGATTGCTGTGATCAAGGCTAAACTGTATTACAAGACTGTTGTGAGGGAAAGCAAATTAAAATGGGGGGGGGAGAAACTTAATATGTAGAAAAGGCATATGACATGCCTGATTTTCCTGCAACTGTCTCAAGGATGACGGTGTTTATGAACAGAACTAGCAGAAAAATTAAATAAGCTGATGCTCCTATAACAGAAACTTCCATTTGAGTTGCCTACTACTGATTTTTGTCTCAGTTACAGAATATTTTAACAATGCTGATCAAACCTTAACTACAGCCTACAGTTTTATTTATACATCAGCAAATATTCTGAAATATTAACATTTCTAGAAAAAGTCAGTTGACTTATCTATTACAATATCTGTATGCTTCCTACTTGCTGGACTCTAGATTCTGAATAATACAATCCAGGACTTGTTACCCTGTCAAGCTCATTACCTTTTGGGGTTTGGTAGGATCCACTTTTTCCCATGGTTCAGGATTGTTCCACCTATCAATACTAAGAGCACAATGCAGCATTTAATATGGATGAGATAAAAATAAGCTTTTGCTAAACATCAGCTTAATAAAACTGCATTTTAGCTATTTTTTTAAAAAAGGCTCAACAGCAACACCCTATTTCTTTTGAAGCTAGCCTCACAGACTTCAACTGACTTTGCAGAGTAATTTAAAATTGAGATAAGCTACTGCTTTAAATGTTAATGTAGGAAAACACTTCCTTTAGAGGGTTATATGAAAATACAAAGCAAAACCTGCTTATGTCCAGCTAAGGTACGGATACACAATTTCTCCTTTATAGTCAATTGATTCTTCTTTAGTTACATAATGTAAAAGTTAAGCGCCCAGCTAAAGATAAAACATTTTTAAGCCTTATGGGTTTTGAAATCTAAACTCAGTTCTAACTGGGCTTTATTCTTAATGTTCTGTTAAAACACACACACACACACACACACACACACACACACACACACACACATATATTCTAGTTGAAATAGAAAGCATTTCTAAATTATAAGGAATTCTGTGAACTTTTGCATTAGAGACTTTTTGAACTTCCCCTGAAAAAGACTCTTGTCAAAACGCCACTTTCTCCTTGAGAAATCAAAAAGAAAAAAGATAAAGGGCAAAACATTTCCTTTTTCCAACCCTGATTTTATTCCACACTGACAATTCCATTCTTGCGTTAGGATGTTCAGTCCTGGGGGGAAAAAATCACCACCCCTTTGTCTGTTGTCCCTCATCCCCCCTTTTGTCTTAAACTTAAAAAAACGACAGCAACAAAGCAGAGAACCTGATCTTAAGAGAAGAGAAGAGCATTTTTTGGGGTGAGTGTGGAGAAACAGGTGCTGCTTACGTTATATCGGATCTTCTCAGGGCATTGATGCCAGTGAATGCCATTCCGCTCAGAGTGGTAGTCATAATCATAGCCAGAGGGATCAGCTGGAAGACACAAAGCCCTCTCTTAGCAAAGGGGGTGCATCAACCGATCTTTCTACGTCAGTAGAAAACAGGACCTGTGAAGGACATTTCTTCCCAAAGCTCTTTTCCCAACATTTCCTTGTCCCGCACTGGTTTACAGGGACAGCAACTTCTCGTCCAAGGATGCTCCTGGATCTTGCTACACAGCGGATGGATAGTTTGATAACCTAGCTCTGATTTGTCTAATACCAAAGCCCAAACTTACCTCTCTATGCTTGTTCAAATACCGGAAGACCACCATGGTTGTAAGAAGGTGCAGGTCTGAGACAGGGAAAAAGACAAAGTTCCAGAGTTATCTTCAGGAAGCATCCTTGGGTACCACTCTGGGCAGGTGTTCCCCTCTCTTCCGATTTACCACCCCTCCCTGGAATTGGAAAATAAATGAGCCCTCCCTCCCCCACCCGAACAACCTGGTTAACTAGATCCGCAGTGAATTTCACTGATACTCACTTCTCCCTTTATATACCGTTAACGCCCAAGGGTGCTGGATGTGTCCCAAGTCACGTAGCCCGGATGGGTAACCCAGCCATCGACGGATATTACAGATGCATTGCACAGGATTAGGGCGCCCCCTGCTGGGCATGTGCAGCAATGAAAAGGGTCTTGGGCTAGGAGATTAAGTGGGTTTGTGATCGTGGGGTCTGGATGGCTAGATGTGAGAGCCAGTTTGGTGTAGTGGTGAAGGCACCAGGCTAGAAATCAGGAGACTTGAGTTCTAGTCCCACCTGGGGCCTGAAGCCAGCTGGGTGGTGACCTTGGGCCAGTCACTCTCCCTTGGCCCCAGGAAGAAGCAGGCAATGGCAAACCACTTCCAAAAATAAAATCTTGCCAAGAAAACTGCAGGGACTTGTCCACGCTCAAAGGCACCCCCCCCCCCAAAAAAAGGCTGGGGGGAGTTTCTTACTTGGTTGCATAGGGTGGGAAGACTTTGAGGTCAGGTTTAATTTTGGGGGGGAGGGTACAATTTTGCATCACAATTCCCCTTTCAATTATGGAAGGAAAAACGGCTTTGAGTATGCACCAAGCGCTTTTCCTTCATTATCCATCCTGCTACCCCTCCTTCCCCCTCTTCTCGTTAGGGGGATGATGATGATGATATAATTGCTTAAATTTGTAATTGCAAGAAAATTTGATTGTAGGGGAGATCCATGCAGAGCTCAGAGAAGGTGAGCATTAGGTGAGCTAAGAAACGACTGTGTCTATTATGAAGAGAAGGCCCTCCCAAAACTGAAGAAAAATGGACAGAAAACCTTCTGCCCTCCCAGCATCCATTTTCTGACATTCAAAAGAGGCTCTAAAAATTGGTTGCTAGAAAGGGCTGCATGCTTGAGAGATGGATCATAGTAAATCATACCTCCTAACTCTGAGTTAGCAGGTTGTACAAACGCAATCAGAGAACAGGAAGGGCACCATTTTATCCCCGGCCTCTGGCAGTGGAGAGCCAGGTGCTCCAACCATGGTTTGCTGAATCGTGGTTGACTGCGTAAAACATAACCCGTCCCTTCACAGGACTTGGCAAACAGCAAAGTGCGAAACATTTGCAAGGCCACAACGAAGCAAAGCCACCTCCTAGTCCGGGCCTGCAGGTCTGGGCTGCAAAATGGCTGAAGGAGGCCTCTGCCTTTGTAGGGCGCTGGAGGGGACCCTCAGCCATGGCCCAGGAAAATGGATACCGCAAGGCGGGGAAGGGGGTAGGCCACCTCTCCCGCCTGCTGCCTGATTGCAAGGGGAAGCCTGCAAGGCCCGGAAGAAATGAACCAACGCGCTCCCATCCTGCCCCAGACTCGTCTTCATCCTGCTTCAATACAACGCACTTCTCTAGGTCGCCTGAAGCCTAGTGGCTGCATTCACACCACGTGATAAGCTTGGATCCTTCCCTTCCCTTCCCTTCCCTTCCCTTCCCTTCCCCTCCCCAGTCCTGTTCAGTTCAGTTGCCTTATCTGCCCCCAACCTCTAATTCATCCCACCCACCCCCAATTATGGAGGGCCTCCTGCAAGGGCAGCAGTGGGAAGCCAGCCAGCCAGGCAGGGGCCTTTCTTACAGGGCCTCCTTGCCCCAGCCGTGCCTGGGGGTCACACTGCTTCCTTCATCCCCCCTTGGGTCCATTCCATTGCTCCCCCAGCTGGACAGGCCCCCTCCTCACCCTGGGTTTCCCTCTGTTACCGTTAAGGGCTTTCTTGGCGTGGCCCACGAGGCGGAGGACCAGAGGGACGCCCTCTCGCTCTTGCCTCAATTGCCTTTCTGGCTTCTAGTGGAGGGGCGCCTCTTCTCCCCCCAAGTCAAGCCCCAGGGGACAGGGAGAAGGCAGCAGCCTGAACTTGGACGGGAGAGACCGTTGGAAGCAGCTGGTTCTCCTTCCTTCCTTCCCCTCCCCGCCTTCTCCATTCACAATCACCCTGTGAGGTGGGTCGCCCTGGAAAAGGGACTGCCCCAAAGTCAGGCTTGAGAACACAGGGCCTACTCATTGGGACATTCAGGTTTTTTTTTTTTAATTAGCTCTAGAACATCATAGGGAGTAGATCAGTGTTTCTCAACCGTGGCACCTTTAAGATGGGGGGGACTTCAGCTCTGACTGGGGAATTCTGGGAGTTGAAGTCCCCCCATCTTAAAGGTGCCAAGGTTGAGAAACACTGTAGTAGATGGCAGTGATGAAGAACTGGATTTCTATGGCTGCCCACCTTGCTGTAGCAATTCTAGGCAGCTAAAAGCACCTAAATGCACAATATACAACATCAAAACAACACCGCATGTAATTTGTAAGACCACCAAGGGAAAAACTATTCTCTAAGTGCCCCACCCACAACCCTGGGAACACATCCATGTCCCACAAGATGGCATTCCTTCATTGATGGGCCCCACACCATGCCTCTCCTCTAATGGGATGGGTAGACAAAAATGGGAAGAGATGGTTCTGCAAATAACCTGGAGAGGGCTTTATAGGTGATCACCAACACCTTTTGCACCTGGAAGCACACTGGCAGCCAGTGTAGCTCATGGAACAGAATTGTATCACAGGCACATTGACACTGTGAGTTATTTATACATTGGTTACGTGAATCCCTTCTGAGATTAACCCTCTTCTGTTTTCTCAAACTCCATTTTTCATTCATACCATAATGATTATGTACCATCAAGTTGTTGACTCTTAGTGACCATATAGATATTCTCCATGATGATCTGTCCCTAACCTGGTCTTTCAGGTCTTCCAATGGTGCATCTATTGCCACCATAACTGAGTCCATCCACCTTGCTGCTGGTCATCCTCTTCTTTTTCCTTCCACATACCATAATAACAATTGGCTATAAACCAGGTATTTTGCCTGGCTAATCAATTACAACTTAGTAGCAAAATTGATGAACTAGCTAAGAATCCCTCAAAAAGTTATGAATGACAAGTAAAGACCTTTCATTGAGTAACTCTTTTTATTGAATAACAGAACTCAGTCACATGAAGATACAAAAATACTGAAGTGGCCTGTAATACTTTTGGAGTAAATTTTACTTACCATTATGCTAAAATTGATAGTATTGTGATTAGTTTTCCTGAGTGATTTGACAGCATATCAAGTCAAGGATTGGTTCCTATCCAGAATCAGTTTCTTGGATATGATGCGTTCATCCATTACACTAAACAAGAATATGGTTTATTTCATTTGGGGTTAGCATGTTGTCTGAACGCAACCATTACTGTTTGTAGATGAATCCATAATTTAGCATATTGTAGGGACTCAGCAAATTCTGGCTTTTTCAGTTATCCATGATTTGTTCCAAAGCATAATCTGAATTACTTTTAGAAATAACAGAGAATATCTAAACCCAAGAATAAAGTCTGATGTGAGAATCCATTCAGTGCCTAATAGTTCACACAACATTGGAGGTCATCACATAGTTTGGTTAGGTTTGGCTTAGTACACTGTGTACTCAACTATATCCTGATATATACTAGGTATATCTTGTGATACATAAACCATGATTTCTAGTTTAATATGCAAACTCAGTCAACATCTGATTATTGCTTGATTTAACTTTTTATGGCTTAATGCGGAGCTATAAACCATAGGTTGCAAGCCACCATGCCTGGATTCCATTACACGCGAAGCCAAAATATAACATTTATGTCAACTCAAGAATCTGGTTAGTGGCTTTAACAAACTCCTCTCCAAGACTAAAATAAGAGAAATTGAGTCTGTCCATGCCCCCAAGAAATCTTTAACGTCTCTGAAAAACATGGAAATCAAGTTCCACTAGAATCCTAAGAGAAGCAGGGTTGCATACAGCGAACAATTCTGGAGAAGTGGCATAAAATATTTAAAATAAATACATTCATCCAAATATGCTATCTTCCCTTCATTATTCCACCCTCCCCCTTTACAGATCTTTCAGTTTATTACCCAAGTTAAACATACTAGTGTATGTTGGTATATATCCATTTTACAAGTTACATTACTGAATTCTAAACAGTTTTTGATAAAATTCCAATTCTTTGTGAGTTAATGATGGCTTTACAGTCTCCAGGGATTTTTCAAAATGTTTATATTTCACAGCTGTTGCTTCAACTTTGTTCTCTTGCAATGCTAGCAAAGCAGCCTAAGAGATGGGGAAAAACACTCATTGTAAATGAAATATATATCATCCTCATACATAAACATATACACATATATATCATAAATACACACGCACACAAATGCCCGTTCACTAGTCTGTCCTCCACTTCCTTTAAATCTTGCCACTGATTCATTATAAACTAACAAGAAAATCACTTACTTCCTTACAGAGATTCTGAAGATCGGCTCCAGAGAACATATTAGTTTGAGTTGCTATATTGTCTAGAGAGACATCAGAATCTACTGGAATTTTTTCCATGCAGATTTTCAACACGGAAAGCCTTCCCTATTGTAAAACACCAAGAAAGAGGCAGTTATTTGACAACCTTTATAGGCTGCGATCTGCACACCCTTAAAAGCAAACTCCCCCAATGAGTTGAAAATGTGGCAATGCGTGCAGTGTTCATGAAGCATATGGTTGCATGGGTTATACTTGGGTTACACAGCGTACAAAACTATATTTTCCTTAATGATGGTCTGTTGACAGGGTAAGAGGGTCACAGATCTCAGAAAGCCAAATACCTTTGTTTTTCTTTGCTTAGTGTGTTATAGCCACTATATTCTGTAAACTAGGGTTTACTGTAGCTTATATTATGTAAATCTAGCCAGAGGTGACTTACTCAACAAATTACAGTTAAATAAACCACAGCTTAGGATAATGTGCAAGACCAGCCAATATCTTTGAAGGGAAAGCTGGAGGCATGTTTAGAACACATTCGTAGTTCTAACACAGTGATGTCTGAAATGAGCTATGTTACTGCAATATGCCATTTCTTACTAAAAACTGAATTCTTAGAATCAATGACTTTGATTTCAGATTCATCTACAGTTTTACGCCATACCTTCTGATCTGGTGGTGGGACATAAATGATCTTATCTAAACGTCCTGGACGTAACAAGGCATCATCCAACAAGTCTGGTCTGTTTGTTGCAGCGACGACGATGACGTCTTTGTTGAAAACCTCCTGAAGTTCTAACTAGTAAGTTGATAGAAACGGCGAACTGTTAGCCATTTAAGTATTTAAACCATCTTGCCTGTTCCTGGCTTTAGATAACCCACCAACATGCTTTATACTTTATGTCAGCCAAGGAAATAAAGAGACAAAAAAGAATTGATCCTGTCTCATTCGACGGGGTAGAATTATGCGATCTTACAAGAAAGGAATTCCAGAATAATCTTAAATAAAAATCCAGTTAACATTGGTTGCTCGTTATCATGCATATCTATATACCTCTTTATCACTTTCAGTTGGTTCTTGACTCTCATTTTCCACCTCTGCTTTATTTCCTCTTCGCTCAGTTAACTTTACTCCAATACCATCCAACTCATTGAGAAGGACAGAAAGAACTCTCTCATGGACCCCGCACCCAGTTTTAGTCACTGATCGGGATCCCAAGATAGCATCAATTTCATCCAGGAAGACTATTGCTGGACTATTTGCTCTCGCTTGACGAAATACCTTGGAGGGGAAAAAAAAAGAGAGAGAAACCAAATAGCCAAACTTATCAAGTTTATCAGCTGTGAAATAAACAAAACTGCATACTTTCAGTCCTCATTTTTTGAGTCAAAATAATTTTCAGAACTTAGACTAATTTTCTTAGTACATACTGAAACTATATTTTAGCTATGTGAAAGATCACACCTGTTGTTCCATGAAGTATATCCATTCTGGTAATCTCAAAAATACTCCAACTCAAGGTTTGATTAAAAGTCAAGCTTGTTCAGCATGGCTGAAGTTTGTGATATAAAGAGAACAAATCCATAGCTTTTAAGAATGTAGGCTTGATTACATGCATATAAGTTTGCATTCACACATAACAATAAGGCAGACCTTGTGTGAATGAGCAGCGGCTTCATTACACAGCCTGGTTCTGACATCTACCTGAATCCAATTTGTTGCTCCCAAATAAGCCAGGATTTATAAACCAATAACATTCTTTGCTTTCTAGTATTGAACAATGTTGGTTTGTTTAAAAGTCACAAACCAATTTTAGATTGGTTTCACAGCAAGCTGTTCCTTCCTGGAAAGTCAGGTGAGAAGGGGGACAAATAGGCTAGGCACACCATTTAATCAAGATTAACCAGGAGTTCCAGCTTATAGTTAAGTGTAAATGTGATCTGTCTGTTCCTACATGTAATCAAGTATTGAATGTAGTGCCTAAAACCGGCGTACCCAAACTCTTCAACTCATCAACCCCTTCATGAAGTTTCAGATTGTTCATCGACCTCCAAACATTTATTATATGAAAATAATTTAATAAACGCTACTTATAGTACTACTACTACTACTACTACTACTACTAATAATAATAATAAAAAACAACCCCTTGGATAGTCCCACTGACCCTTGGAGGTGATATTGACCACTTTGGGGAACCCTGGCCTGAATCTTCTTTGCTCTTTTGTTTTCTTGTGTGCCAAAACTGCAACATTAAATTCTCTCTTAAATCACACAGAATTCTATTACATCCAAACTGAGAAACTATACTCTCAAACTATAAACCAGATGATGAAACCATAATCTGATTGTCATAAGCCTAACATGATTATGCCTCAACCATTCCATTGGCCAACACGTCCCCTCTTCCCTCAAAGGCTATGCATTTCTGAGAACGAAAACCAAACCTGAGACAAACTCTTCTCTGACTCTCCAACAAAAGGTGAGAAAAGATCAGCGCCGTTCACAGACAGAAAGGAACAATGGGAACAGGATGCTGCTGCTTTCACAAGCATCGTTTTTGCACAACCTGATGGTCCATAGAGAAGGATACCCTTTGGGCGGGCCAGCCCCATCCGGACAAACGCTTCTGGGAATTTTATAGGCCATTCAATGCTCTGCAAATCATTAAAAGAACAGAACCTTCCATTAATTTCTCATGGTGCAAAATCCTACAAGGCAATCCATCTTCAAACCAGTTTCATGAACAATCACAATTACTTGAAGTCACACAAATGTTAAATCATAAACCCAGCTTTAGGACTGGGTTTGTAAACATACTGTGCCCTAGCAAGATGCATGAATATCTTCTCATTTTGAATCCTAGTCTGCTTTGGGAGCAGCGGTGAGGAAACTTTATTTTTATTGCGACTTTATTTTTTTATTTTATTTATTTATATATCAAATTTATATCACCGCCCAACTCCCCCACAATGTTTTTAAAACATTGCTTACAGTTTACTAATTTTTCCAGGTAATATGTGCATGTCCCATGGTGGTAGGAAGCAAATAAGTCCACTTATTATCTAAAAGCCACATGAATGAATCTTTGTGCTATATTATCTGTTTAAAAAGTTTTACTTTTCATTTCTGAGCAAATCTCCTGTCTCTGCCTTGCTATATCCAGTTTACCTGCTTCCTATCATAGCCCTACCAGACAGCCAAATAAAATTACACAGAAGAAAAAACAGGGTGCCCTAACCACCTTGAAATGAAAAATTCTCCTGTTTGCTGACCTTCCAGTCTGAACCAAAACAGCTTCAATCTGCACTGTCAGAATAAAACAAAACAAAAATGTCAGGATCAACTTCAGATATTAATTCTTGTTAATACTTTCTTTTTATAAACCATCTGAATGGAGTTCAGAGACCATCGGTGATCCACAGACCTCTATTTGAGAACCTTTGACTTAGAAAGTTCAAGTGTGTTTTCCAGACTGTTGTTAGCCAATCCTGTAGAGCAGTGTTTCTCAACCTTAGCAACTTGAAGATGTGTGGACTTCAATTCCCAGAATTCCCCAGCCAGCATGCTGGCTGGGG